CAGCAGACTGCGACTCTCTCCCAGCATTGATTGATGAGCTCGCTGATAACGCCAGAGACTGCGACTCTCTCCCAGCACCCAGAACTGAGCTCGCCAAAATCTGCGGCCCTGCCATAGGCGCAGGCAAGACCACGCACTCCCATTAGATGATGAGCTCAACGATAACGCTCCTCGTGACTGCGACTCTCTCCGAGCTCCTCGAGCACCTGCTGCACTTTGCGCGCGATGTCCGACGAGGGCGCCATACCGTACTTCATCACGCCGCCGTTCTTGGTGAGGGTCGTCTTTTCGTGCTCCCAAGCAGGCCAAGCGACGGCCTGACGATTTACTTTGATCTCCAACTTCGCATAGTCCCGAGCGTAGGTCTTCTTCACCCTGCAGTACGGGATGTCCTTCTGGAGGGCCTGGCGCAGCGCTGCCATGCCTTTGCTCTCCTGGATCTGCTGGTAGTGGGCCGTGTACCTCTCGAAGTCCGTCTTCACCTGGGCGCTGATCTGAGTCGCCTGCTTCTCTGCTGCGTTCATGATGGCCAGGAAGATCGACGTGTGAGGTAATCCCAGCTGCCCCTCGCGGCCCTCCTTCGAGATGCCTGCTGCTGCTTGAGCGCATCCGCGCCCCGCCTCCAAGCCGGCTTGCGCCACCTCGAGAGCCAGCGGGCACGCGCGAACTTCCAAGTCCGACGCCGCCCGAGCCACGCGAACTTGATACTCTGCTGCCAAGCCCCACTTCGCGATGAACACCATATCTCCTTGATCGCCTTCAGATTGTCTTTGTTGGCCTCTTTGAGCGCCTGCCCGAGAGGCTCCTCGCGACGCTGCCGCTGCGACAGAGGGGCCGCCAAGCCGAGATCGAGCGGCATGTCCTCTAGGTGCACGAGCGGGAAGGTGTCCGAATCGCGCGGCCAACTCTGGGATGAGCTCGAGCCCCGAACGAGCTACTAATAAGTGGACATACCGAGGGCCAGCAACATGAGACCGAACATGAATGTGATACATAGCCAGGGAAGTGAAGTGCTGCTCGCGTAATGGACATGTAATAGCAACATCATCTTGTGCGCGCTGAGGTGCGATGGCGTGATCGGTGATGCAGCGGTTCAGGATGAAGGCATGACGAACATAAGATGCAGCACAAACACGTCATTGAACGCCGAAGAACACCATCGACACATATTGCATTGAACAGACCTTTCAACATGTACATCTCCATTCAAACGTCTAGCCCGAGAGCGATGAACACGAAGGGCTCTGAGGGTCTCGAAGGTCCCCCCACGCCCTTGCCCATTAGCTGGGAGATCCTGACAGCGATACGCACGTACGTGAGGGGGTTGAGCTTCAGGGGCCTGCGGGCCCTAATGATGTCCAGGGGGAGGTATAGCTACAATAAGACACTCACTCCGAAGCTTCGAAACATGAATCTCCAGAAAGTGGGCCAGCATATCCTTATCGAGTAATAGCTTCTGGGGGGGGGGGGGGGGGGGGGGCACCTTCACATCTTTCCACGAAGCTCCCTCCTCCAGTTCAAAGAGAGAGAACCCATATCCTCTCTCATCCGTTTCACGAAAAAGTTAGACGAGCCGTGACGAGCGCGGTCCACGAGGGTCTGCTCGAAGGGCATCTGAGGAGCCAAGAATATGGTGGAAAGCTGATCGTCTTTCTCTGGGGCCCTGAACATTGCCCAGCACCGCCTGAGTCTCTGTATGCGGAGCTCCAGCGAGACGGGTGCAAGTCGAAGCAAACGCAATACTCGATTAGAAGTAAGCCTGGTCTTCCGCTCGGTGCCATCGGGAAGGACGGTGGTCGTCGTGCCGGCGCCCTGCATCAACTTGCGGCAATGCCATACCTGGGTTGCATCTAGCTCGGCCTCGTCCTCTTTGCTGAGAGGCAGCCCCGGGGCGCCAGACATCAAGCAAGACATACACATCATACGAAAGAGTATTATCTTTAAATCTCTGCAAACACTGCTGAGCCAGAACTTGTGGAACATGTGCAAATTCTTTTTTGCGCGCTTGTACTCGACGATTGAGTTCGACGCCGGCGTAGCCGCGATAATGAATCATCGGCCCAAGATATCGCGCTTCGCGTAGGACTCGTCCCGGCACCCACTGATCTGCGAAAGTGCGCCTCTGTGTAGCGCCTGAGTTCTTACCCATGAAAAAAGAAGTGTCCTCGAGCTTCTTCTCGTTCTGTGCGCGTCCGATCTCCCAAAGACGCTACGAAAGCGAATCGGTACACTGAGAAGGTGAGTCCCGCATCCGTGCAAAACCATTCACGCAGATAAGCCGCCTGACGTCGCCCACAAACCTGAAGATGGAGCAATCCACGATGTTGTCTCCAACAATAGATGGAACCTGCATCCGAGGATCGAGAGTATCAGCTCGCCAATCGTCAATCGATGCCCCGTGCGCTTTCTCAAAAAGACCAGGGCCCAATGAACTGCCCTGCGTGACGCCATCACCTTGATGAAAATTAGCGCTGCCGTCGATCGCGTCGCACTCAGTCACGCATCCGCCAATGCGGTCGCCAAAAAGTCTGGAGTCGCTCTCCGAGTTGGCGGGGGAGATGACGCTGTCTTGCTTCACGCAGTTAAAAGCGTTGGCCGCGTCAAAGTTGAGAGCAATGTGCGAACATTTAGCCTGTCGAAGTCGATCCATCATAACTGCTGTCGCGGCGATCGCCCCATCGCGTCGTCGCCCAGGAATGTGATACGCACGCGGGTAGATGATATCGCTAGGTTGGTGCTTGAAGAGGCCCCGATAGAAAGCATTACTGTGCGAGCCATAGCCATGCACCCAGCGCGTGTCGTCCAAATCCTTAGGAATGCCAAAACACGTATCTCGATACCATTGTTGTGGGGCGCGTCCGTTTACTCGAACTTTCTGGTGAAAAATGAGAAGTCAATTATAACTGCGCTGAAGCTGTTCGGTAGGTGTGTCCATGCCAACGCCATGCCGAGCTATCGCACCACATGGAGGGGAAAGAAAGATTCGCCATACTTCAGAAGGGAGATCCCACCCAGGAGCCGCACGCCGTTTTTCCTTCACCAAGAGATCAAATTGCACGAAGAAGGTCACGCTCAGCTTCAGGTCGCACTGCGCCCGATGGTGATGAACATACTTGCTGGGCCTGAATGAAGCATAGCATCGGTAATCCGTCGAGCGCCCCAACCCTCCTGCGCGCCCGGCTTGGAAAATCGAGCCTCAGCTTCAGCAGTCGTCAGCCGCAATGCGATAGGTCGCCCACGCCGCCGTCGCTTAGGGCCAAGTCGTTTTCCAATAATCTGCCGTGCCAGCTGATGCGCTTCAGCGTGTCGTTTCTCGTTCCAGGCCTGAGTGCAAGCTTCGATAAGAGCCAATTGACGATCTGCCTGCGCGGTCTTGATGTGAGCGGTAACTTTTCGACTAGCTTGGAGAAGCCGGGTAGCCACTCGCCATCCATACAACAGATCACGTAATGAATGCATAACCGATCCAATGCCAAGCAGTCTGAAGATCCATCTGAGCGGTCCATATCCATCCGGAGTCCACTATTGTTGAGTGACTGCCTGTCGTAGGTCGCGCCGTTCTCGGAGAAGCTGCAACTTAGTACGCGATTTTCTCTAAGTGTCAAGTCCGCCTGCGGAACGAAGTACTTATGTGCGATCTCTTTTAGCCCGTCGATAAGAAACTGCCAAGCTTGAGTAACCGAGCCCGTCTCCATGAGTTGCCGCCGCTGCCCTTCACTGTTCGGACACCATTGAGTGATATCATCGTATATGAGGTCCCCATACGCGCCATGTAACATATCCTGCATTAGTCGTTCGCGAATCCATCGTAATAACTCAGATTGCCCATCATACTGCAATTGAATTTATAAGTTAATTTGAACTGGTCGATGATCTGTGCGTCTAAGACTTTGAATGAGTTGAATCCGATCGCCTGCACGGTCCAGGACAAAAGCAGAATGTATAGCGCCCGAAGTGAGATATCCATGCGGAACACATATGTAATCAATGCGATGTTGAGTGTTCGGCCCGAAATTGTAATGAGTAGGGCCAGCGCCGTGAGGAAAAAAATGTTCGTAGCGCACATGTGAAAAAAACAATCCAAAGTTGTCGAAGATAGCTGCCGTTCGTGTTGGTGGGCTCACGAAAGTGCGGACCGATAGCGGAACAATCATCTGGACAAGGAACTCCTTGAGGGCCCGCAACTGTACCAACTCTGCCATTGCCGTCCATCATGAGTATAGGTAGCGTGCGCGCAGGAAGGCCCGCCAGAATCTGAGATGTCCAAGCAAGTAATGTCTGAAAGGGAGACTTTGGCTTGTGGTTGCCGATGTTCTCAGGTGGGAAAGAAAGAGATATCCATGCAACGTCGTGACTGGCCGTCTTAGCGCGAACACATATACCACGCCCTTGCAAACTGGGGTCCTTCGGGACCTTGATTACTTTAACAGAAGAAACTCGGAAAATATGTCGATGTAGCCCAATACCAACTCCAACGTGTTTATTGGACCTGCCCCCATATCCTGCTGAGAAAAAGATGTGGTTCGATGGTGAGGTCGTGCCCTGGAAGCCGTGCCCCTTGAAGTCCGACCACCGCCTTGTGCCTGAACGCGCCAAAGATGTCGTCCAGACGGCCGCAAGTTGAGCACCGACATCGGGTTGTAGCTGACACCCTGCGCGGCATTGGGATAGAGACGAGAAGCGGCGCCCATCGCGCCCGAGCAGGATATAGCATTGACCCCCCCGATTTCTTGTATACAAGCACTGAGACTGAAGGATCGCGCCGCAGCCCCTAGCAATTAACTCGGGCCCGCGGGCTAGGGGAAGGAGGAGGAGGAGAAGGAGGAGGAGGGAGAGGCGGAGGAGAAGGCGGAGGAGGAAGAGAAGGAGGAGGAGGAGGAGGAGGCGGAGGAGGAGGAGGAGGAGGCGGAGGAGGCGGAGGAGGAGGAGGAGTAGGAGGAGGAGGAGGAGGTAGGAGGAGGAGGAGGAGGAGGAGGAGGAGGAGGCGGAGGCGGAGGAGCCTCCGTGGCGTCCTCCATGGCGCGCGGCGTGCCGCCGCCGTGCGGCCCCGGGCGCCCGCTCTGCTGCGGCGGCGGCCTCGGGGCTCGGCCGCCGGCCAGCCGTCGTCCGCCGTCGCCGTCCGCCGTCGGTCGATCGTCCGAGGTCGCCCCAAGAGCGCCTCGAGAGGCCCCTCCAAAGGGCCTCAGAAGCTGAACATCATACATTTTCCAATGGTTTTTGAAGCATTCGTGCGCTCTCCCATGTTCCGCCTCCCCACGGTCCCGGACTGTGTCAGAGGCCCTTCAGATCGCTCCAAGACAGCCGAAGCGGTCGCCGCCGGTCGGTACGCCGTCGGTCGTCGGGCGACCGTCGGTCGCCAGTCGCTGGTCGTCTGTCGACCGTCGGTCGTCCGTCGCCGGCCGCTGGTCGTCGCTCGTCGTCGGTCGCCCGTCGCAGGACGTCGTCGGTCGCTGGTCGCCGGTCGTCGCTCGTCGTCCGCCGCCGGTTTTCTAGAACGTCGTGGGGTCGTCGGCCGTCGTGCGTCGTGGTCGTCGGGTCGTCGGCCTTGGTCGCCAGCTGTCGGGAGTATGCTGGCCATCGCTCGGACGTCCATTCCCTGTGCTTCTTTCGGTTTTGTGCGTGGCTTTTTCGCCAAATGATCAAGGATGCTCCTCGATGGTCCTCGCCGAAGGAAACATGCACACGTCCGAGCGATGCCAGGGATGGAGGGGGGGTTGGCAAAGAGGGGATGGCGACTCGGCTGCATGCCGCTGGATTTTCGGGCGTCTCCTGGCGCCAGAGGCGCCAGCGCATCCAGGAGGGCGCCCAGCGGCGGGGCCAAGGTCAGCTGCGTACGGCAGATTTCGTACCCTCCTCTCCCTATGCAGCCCCCCCCCTGCCCCCCGCCAGGGGATCTGGAGCGCCGCTTGCAGCAGTGGCTCGACGAGCAGAACCGGTAGAGACGGCCAGAGAGACGCATGTTGTAGAATCTCTGCTTAGAGCGCATTCGATAGAGAGGCTTCGCGAGCTAGCCGGCCAACGCCAGCTTCCCACTTCTGGCAACAAGCATCAGATTGCACTCAGAATTGCAAGATACATGTTTCGTTGATAGCGCGTCGGCAACTCTCGAATTGCCCCTTGTCTATTTCTCTCCTGTCCTGTCTGCCGCCCTTCGTTCGTTCTCCTTTTCTCTGCCTCCCCCCCCTGCTTGCTGCCGTCTCTTCTTGTCCTCTGCGTTCTTGCCTCCTCCTGTTGTCTTCTCTGTCCTCCTCTCTGGCTTCTGCGCCTGCTGCTGCCAGTCTTCCGTGGCACGTCCACGAGATGTCACGCGTGCTGCAGCGAACTGCGGTGGCTGCACGGGCCTTCGCCACGGGCCCCAGGGCCTGCGCCCCGACGGGCTCTCTCCGTGGTGGGGCCACGCCGGGTCTGCCGGTAGCCACCGCTACGGGAACTTTCTCTGCGCCAGTCTTCCAAGCTGTCACTTTCAGACAAGGCATGGTGCCACAGAGCGGGTCGAGTCGAGTCGTGTGCCCACCCCTCTCGTCAGACCCACCTGTCGTCTCCACGTTTTTCCCTAAACTGCATGTCTGCAAGGGTGCGCCATATATATATATATATATATATGTATATATATATATATCCACATATATATACATATATATATGTGTGTGTGTATCCAATGGCTATGGTGTTGCACGATCCAGAATCGGGGGGGCGACACTGCCTCCCGTGGCCTCCCGTGGCCTTCCGTTGCCTTCCGTGGCCTTCCCTGGCATCCCGTGACCTGCCGTGGCCTCCAATGGCCCCCCGTTGCCGCCCATATCCCTACGCCTCTAGTCATCAATCCCTCCATCCCTGTATCTCTCGATCCCTGATTCTATCCCTACGCCTTCGACCCCTTGCCTGCGTCCCAACCCCCTATCATATCCCTATCCCCATCCCGACCCCTAGATCCGTTATCCCTACATCCCTAGCCCTATAGATCACTGTTCTTTATTGGTGATCGCCCCCTCCCTCAACCGAGTGGCAGCCAACCCGGACCCATGAGGGCACCCATGCGGGCCCCCCCGACCATTTGTTGCAAAACAACCGTGCAAAATGCACTCGCCTCCAATCTGGAGCATGCGCGGCTCCCCGCGACCATTTCGCATTGTTTTTTGATAGGGACGGCGGGGGTACCCTGATGTTGCTTGCTGCGCACAAGCCTCCAATCCCAATAAAAAAACAATACAACGTGCACCCTGCCTTCGAATCTGGAGCATGCGCGGGCGCCCCGCGACCACTTTGTTGCTACTCGGTTGCTACTTCTGTGTTGGGAGGGCGGGGGGGCATGAGCGAGAGGGCTTGCGCCTCGTGGGCAGGAGGCATCTTGCTACCCCAATCCCTATCCCTACCCCGATCCCCCTATCGTGGCCGCCCATTGTAGCCCAGCATCGTGATCCCCCGTCGTGGCCCCCATCGTAATTATGTAAAGCTGTTTAAGGTCTTGTATCGCAACACACTGTGTTACATTAACTGAGAAAGTTCGCTTGATTCGTCTGTGCTCCTCGGTCTCTCCGGGTCGCCGGGTGTTTTCGAAGGGTGGATGTACCCAACGGATGCGGAGCCGAGCGGGTGAAGGAGGTCAGGACTCGAGAGGTGTGCGGTCTCGCGTCCACACGCAATGCCTATACGCTCGCGACGTGCGCGACCATACGCCACGCGCCCTGGGTACGGACGAAGGCGTTGGTCGCCGGCACGTCCATGCCTGGCCCGACGCGCTCGGTCAGGGACACGTGCGCGCGGCCCTCGGTGTCCAACGTCCAGCGGCAACCGGCCGGCCAGATGTGCGCCGGATGCCTCCCCGAGCCCAAGATCGTGTCCCAGCTCTGGCAAATCGCAGCGTGTCCGAGCAGTGGCGCGTGGCCTGGGTGTATACAGACAGTCGGGCGTTGCCAGGAGCGTCCCTGGCCCAAGGTGTCCTCAGGATTTTCACGGAGGCCTTCACGGCCTCCAGAGCACCTCCTGGGCCTCCACGGCCCCTGGGCCTCTATGGCCCATGGGCTGCAAGATCGAGCGAAAAACTGGGAGCAACGTGGGCCATGGACGCCTTGAGCGACCCCGAGACAGTTCGCCCGTCCTGGGGCGAGGCGGCGCCGAGCAGGTCGACGGCTGCGCTGCCGCCCAACGAGGATTCGTCCAGCCAGAGCGCCCGCATGCGGCGCGCGTCACCAGCCCGGAAGGCCGCGTAGAACTCCTCGTTGGCGCGCAGGGCCTGCAGCGCACCCTGGAGCAGCCTTCGCGGGTCGCCGGGCGCCGCGGCGCCCACCGAGGCGGGCCCGAGCGCCTCGAGGTTCTCCGGCCTCACCAGGAGCTGCCGCCCGGGCGCGCCCGCTCCCGAGGCAGAGCACCCCCCCCCGTCCAGGCGCACTGGGATGCGCCCCGTCCTGGCGGGCGGGGCGCTCACGATGCCCGCCTCCCCGTTCAGCTCCGCGCGGACGAGGCCGTGCAGGCGCACGCGGGCACCCGGCAGCAGGGCCGCCCGGCCCGGCTCCGCGCTGCCGCTGCCCGCGCGGGCCCCGCCGGAGGCAGAGCCTGTTGGAGGGCCGCTGCGCCACGGCAGCGTGGCGCTGCAGCCGAGGCCCATGGAGGGGCACACCCGCACGCCCAAGCTGTCGAGATGCCGCGCCCACAGGGCGGGTGCAGCCGTCACACTGCCGAGGCCCACATTGCAAGCGGCGAGACGCCCGAGCGTGATCAGGTCAAGGTGCGCCGCGATGAGGCGCTGAGGGTCCAGCAACAGAGCCGAGAAGTCGAACTGCATCGACGCTGCCCGCTCGTGCGCAGCTGGCTCAGATGACGGGCCAGAGCTCTGCAAATAACTCGTCCCGCAGTGAATGTGCCCAGTCAGCTGAGGCCCAGCCGTGCGAGTGGGCAAAGCGTCCATCGAGCAGCACAAGCTGCCAAATCATTCTTCAGAAAAACAGGCTGCGCACAAGTCTCCCGCAAACGCTTGAGCCAAAATGGCTGCGGAAAGAGGGCAGGCCCCCTCCCCCTCACCATGCGATCGGCCACGGGAATCGAATTAGTCCCGCTGAGCGGGCGGGAGCGGAGGGTTGCCCTGGAAAGCGTGGGGACATGAGGGGAATAATGAGGATGGGAGGGGGACGAGGAGAGAAGGTGATGGAGGAGGAGGAGGAGGAGGAAAGTTGTTGGCCCTGGGTGGCTGGCATCTCGGGCCTCGGGACAATCGTAAGTCAACATGGTGGTCTCGTGGGGAAATGTCACCCTTTCTCCTCTTTCTTTCATCCCAATATCCGTCCTCCCTGCCTCTCCTCCTCCTCCCGCATCCCTCCTCCTCCCTCCAATGCTCCCTTCTCCCCCGTTCCCCCAGCCCCCCCTGCCCCAAAGCACCCCAGAAACCTCTCAGAACGCATGTGCCCTGCTAGAGCTCCGAAGATTTCATCCAGCCTCACCCCTCTCCTTCCCTCCCTCCCTCCTCCCTCCTCCCAGCAGAGCTCGTCCCCCAGAACTGTCCAGGCTCACCTCCTAGCCAGAAGTTTGAAGGGATTCAGCTGGCGACGAGGAGACCCTGGAGGCCCAAGCTGAACCACACATCAAAACAAGTGTGCACCAAACCCATCTGCAAAAAGTGGCAACATCAAGAGGCCCTGTCAAAGCTAAACATCAAGTATGGAAAATGCGAGATCCCCTAGCAAAGCTACGCCATTGCAAGGCCCCCACGGACCAGCTTGAGGCAACCCCAACAGCGACGGAAAGCATGATGCTGGACTTCTCTGGAGCGCAGCACAATTAAGACAATCGCGCGTCTGACAACAACCAGGGAAGCAAGGTATCGTCAGGACCCGCGAGAGACCCAACCCCGCTGGACCTCCCAGGGGCGCAGCAAAGTGGCACCAATCGAACGCCAAGCAGCACCCAAGCGGGGGGCGACGTCTCGCTTACATCCGCGTAGAGAAGACCCGGCACCGATGGACCTCTCAGGGGCGCAACAAAAAAACTGCCCCGGCGTGCCATCCTCCCTTGCTCGCCGTCGTCGTGCGCACCGACGTCGAGCATGTCGTCGTCGCCATCCTCGCCGCTCTGTGCTTTCCCTCCCCCTCACCCTCCTCATCCTCCTACTCCTCCTCCTCATCCAGCTCGATGCTCGAGGGAGATATCGAAAACATCCTCTTCCTCCTCCTCATCATCAGCAGCATCATCCTCATCCTCATCCTCATCCTCATCCTCATCCTCATCCTCATCCTCATCCTCATCCTCATCCTCATCCTCATCCTCATCCTCATCCTCATCCTCCTCATCATCATCATCATCATCATCATCATCATCATCATCATCATCATCATCATCATCATCATCATCATCTCCTCGCCTCCTCCTCCTCCTCCTCCTCCTCGTCCTCCTCCTCCTGTGGGGAAACGATCGGGGGGGGGAACCAGCTCAGGGGGGGGGAAACATCGACTTGAAGTCGGCGGTACATCGCCGAAAGATCAGCCATAGGCTACCGATAGCGAATCCGCATGTTCCTGAGCGGGGCGGGCCATCGGAACCCTATCGACGATGACTGGCCGGCTGGGGGTCGGTGCGGTCCCTCCTGAGCCCGTCCTTCCAAGCCATAGCTCGGGCCTCCTGCGGCCGCGCGGCTCGATCCAACGGCTTCCGGAACGCTCTCGACGAGCAGCAGCCGCTCGAAGGCAGCCCGAGGACGGAAAAAAAACGACAAGAGCCAACAACAACGTCCAAACCTTTGCCCCTGATCTCCTCCTCCTCCTCCGCCTCCTCCTCCTCCTCCTCCTCTTCCTCCTCCTCCTCCTCCTCCTCATTGTCCTGGTCTGGTCTGGCCGTGCGCACCCAAGTGGGGCGCGAGGCGCCGATGCCCTGGGCAGGCATGGCCCCGGCCCCTCGAGGGCTCTGGAGATGGGGCAGCCGCCCGGCGCAAGTGAGCAACGAGATGCAAGGCCCCCGCAGCGCCTCGCCTGCCCGGTCACTGACTGGCGGCGCGCAAGTGCCTGGCTCAACTGCGCGCGTGACCTCATCGCCTGCTACTCCTGCTCTCGCTGTTCCTCCTGCTCCTCGAGGGGCCTCCTAGCTGGGGTCGGAGGATCGCACCGCGTCGCCGATAAATTAGCGGTGCATCGGCGATGCGTCAGCGACGTCGGCGGTGCATCGGCGACGCCAGTGCGGAGCAATTTCAGGCTTCACGTCGAGCTGCATCGGCGATGCCTCGGCGACGCGGCGCTGTCTTCCGACCCCATCCACTCGACCACCCCCCCTTGGGAGACCTAGATCATACACCCTCCTCCTCCTCCTCCTCCTCATTCTCCTCTTCCATCCTCCTCATCCTCCTCCTCCTTGCCCTCCTCCTCCTACTGCTCATGATCCTCCTCCTCCTCCTCCTCCTCCTCCTCCTCATGTTCCTCCTCTTCCCTCCCCTCCTCCTCCTCCTCCTCCTCCTCCTCCTCCTCCTCCTCCTCCTCCTCCTCCTCCTCCCCCCTCCTCCTTCCCCCTCCTCCTCAGCCCTCCTCCGCCTCCTCCTCCCTCCTCCTCCCTCCTCCCTCCTCCTCCTCCTCCTCCTCCTCCTCCTCCTCCTCCTCCGCCTCCCCTCCTCCTCCTCCTCCATCCTCCTCCTTCCTCCTCCTCCTCCTCCTTCGCCCTCCTCCTCCCTCCTCCTCCTCCTCCTCCCTCCTCCTCCCTCCTACCCCCCCCTCCTCCCTCCTCCTCCCTCCTCTTCCTCCTCCTCCTCCTCCTCCTCCTCCTCCTCCTCCTAGAGTAGCCTGACGGAGGATTCCGCCCCATCGCCCCTGAGGGCTTTGCCTATGTTGTCTTGTTACGCATAACGCACCCGTACATTTCTGGGTGGGATTCTTCCCATCATGGGAAATGGGATAAGTCCGTGGGCGGCGGGGCGGATGAGGCGGGGTGGTTGGATGAGTTGGAAAGCGAATTGGCCATACTTCGAGGGTTCATGGTCGGAGAGGGTCTTATTGACCTCACTAACTTTTACGACCAACTCGAGATGGCAGCTTTGGCCGAAGCGTCCGTGGGTTTAGGATATCCAGTGCGGCTCTTGGCGCTAGCTGTGGAAGCGTACCTAGGGCCTAGCCCTCTCACGCTGGACCAGGCTGTTCACAGAGGCATCCTCCCGTCGGGAGGTGTGTTGCAGGGCTGCGGACAAGCTGTCTCTCTCTCTCTCTCTCTCTCGCGCGCATGTCTTTACAGTGCTTGAAATGCTACCTTGAATACCAGCGCAGCCCTTCATTTGAGGCAGTGGGTTGATGGCATCGAGTTTGGAATTTTAGGAACTGAGCAGACGATCCTCGGCATTTTCCCTGTTGTTGTTCGCACGTTGGTGAGAGGTCTCCTGAAGGCCAAGTGCAAGCTCTCAGTTCCAAAGTGTGTTCTTCTGGCCTCGAATGCCTCGCTGCGGAGTCAGCTTTTGCATGCAGCGGTAGGCACTGCATCAGCAGGCGTCGGGGCAGTTTTCCACGCGAGGGATTTAGGCCATGACACAACCTTTTTGAATCGGCGTGCGACCAAGGTCCAGCAGGATGGGTTTCGCAAGGGTGCCCACGCAGCTGGCCAGAATAAAGCGTTTCACTCGTACCGACAAGCTTTCGCCGAAACTGTATCTTAGTAATGCTTACATACCTCAAGGCGATGTGGGCTGCTGAATTGCACGGGATCAGCCATTCCAGTCTCCGATTGCTGCGCCGTAGTGCGCATGCCAGTAGTCTTGTGAGTGGTCCAGGCACGTGTGCGACCACTGCTATTAGGCTGTCTTTCGGGGCGGGCCGTGACCCTGTCCGGGTCCACATTCGTCGCCTCGTAGCGGTTTAGTTGGGCCCGCTCGCAACGCGCCCGAATCTCCTCTCTCGCGCTGAAGCTGATTGCAGATCTCTTTGGACAGGGCGAGTAAAGGCTGGAGTTGGGCGTGGGGCCCACTTTCAGCCTTGCAGGCGAGTTTGTTGCACTTAGGGTGGTCTTGCCCCAGCGCTCGCGAATTGATCAGTCCGGGGGGAGATGCCTGGGCTCCTCCTCTTCTTCCTCGTCCTCCCTCTCCCCCCCTCGTCTTTTCATCATCGTCCTCCCATTGTCGTCCTGCCCCTCATCGGCCTCCATCATCGTCCTCCCATTGTCGTCCATCATCATCATCCTCCCCATCCTCCCCCTCCTAGTCCTCCTCCTCCCCCTCCTCCCCCTCCTCCCGCTCGTCCTGTGCTCCTCCTCCTTTTCTTTCTCCACATTATCCTTACATCCTCTCTTCTTCCGCCTCCCCCTCCTTCTCAAGATAACTGCAACGCAATCCTTTTTTCCACTTTATGCTCCCCGCCTTCTCTGATCAAGGCAACTCGCCAGGGCAAAGTAGCTGGACGGGCTGGTGTGGATGCGCGGGGCTTGAAGAGGTCCTTGCGGGCTCAGACGGCATGCAAGAATCCGCCGCCGCGCTTGTGCGGCATTGATTTGTTCAGTGAACGTGGTTTAGGTCACGGGTGGGTCGCGGGCTCTCCACCTCCACCTGGAAGGAATGCAAAAGCAGCCCGCCGCAGGCGCCAAAAAATTGGTTTGTACACTGAACGAGGTTTGGGTCGCGGGTGGGCCGCGGGTTCTCCACCGGGAACGAATGCAAACGATGACCGCCGCAGGCGCCGAAAAATGTGGTTTGTACCCTGAACGTGGTCGCGGGTGGGCCGCGGGCTCTCCACCTGAAACGAATGCAAAATATGCCCGCCGCAGGCGCCGAAGAATGTGGCTTGTACCCTGAACGTGGTTTGGGTCGCGGGTTGGTCGCGAGTTGGTCACGGGGTGGGTCGCGGGCTCTCCACCTGGAAGGGATGCAAAAAAGCCCGCCGCAGGCGCCGAAAACTGTGGTTTGTACCTTGAACGTGGTTTGGGTCGAAGGTGGGTGGGTCGCGGGTGGGTCGCGGGTGGGTCGCGGGTGGGTCGCGGGTGGGCGGGTGGGTCGCGGGGGGGTCGCGGGGGGGTCGCGGGTGGGTCGCGGGGTGGGTCG